ACATGCGGTGGTTGAGGCCCTGCACTCGGCAGAGCATCCACACAAGAATGTGAACTTGGCCACGAGAACTGGATCTAGAGTCCTTGCAGGGTGGGGAACCTTTTCCTGCCCAGGGCCATTGGATGTTTATAACATCATTCAAGGCCGTACAAAACGATCCACTTAAAACTTAGCCTGCTGTATGTGGTCAGACATTAACTAACTCACCCCTGATGCTGTGGCAGGACCTGACCAAATGATTTCATGGGCCTGCGGTCGCACAGTGATTGTTCTGAGGGACTTTATTACATGTTTCTAATCACTGAAATGTCGTACCACCAGTTTCAAATTATATTTAAAACATTACCTGGGGAGACAAAAATACATTTTATTAAAGCCACGTCGTCAACTGGCTTGTGATCTAAAGTTTTCAACCGTAATTATCAAGTGAGTTGTTTCTTAATATCTTTTAGAAATCTAGTTCTTATCACCTATTCTTTTAAACAGGCTTATTTTGTTAGCTTTATGACTCATGACTCATACACATAATTAGTACAAATGAGACATTAACCTGGGAAACAAGCCTCCTGTTCATATCTAACTTTTAGCAAAGGTGGGCTTAGCTTCTTTATTGAAAATCGAGTCACAGTACATTTGGGGCTGATAGCTTGATTATGGACATTTTATGCTTACTTTTTTCATTACTTATCAAAATACCATTTATATGGAATCTTCTCTTTGCCAAGAGGTTAACATTTTATTTAAAAAGAGGATATCCCTAACCGGTTTGGCTCAGTGGATAGAGCGTCGGCCTGCAGACTCAAGGGTCTCAGGTTTGATTCCGGTCAAAGGCATGTACCTTGGTTGCAGGCACATCCCCAGTGGGGAGTGTGCAGAAGGCAGCTGATCGATGTTTATTTCTCATCGATGTTTCTAACTCTCTATCCCTCTCCTTTCCTCTCTGTAAAAAATTAATAATTTTTTTAAAAAAGAGGATAATTAAACTTTGAACAAGTGTTGGCAAGATGTGGACAAGTGAGGACTGTCATGTTGTTCGTGGGAGTGAAATGACCTTCACCTTGGCAAACAGTCTGGCCAGTTCTGTGCGCCTGCCGCACAGCCTGCCTGCTCCTCTTCCTGGTGCGGACCCCCCAGAGTCACGCAGCTCTAGGAAGGAGTGCTGGCTGGTACGTGGGACAATGTAGGCAACTCTATGAGAAGCCAGACCCCCAGAGTACATTGAAGGGCCCTTTCCGTGGAATTCCAGAGCAAACGGGCTGGGCCGTCCTGCAGAGCAACAACCCCGGACCAGGGGTTAGGTTGAGGGTCAGTAGGACACCTTCTGGGATCGTGAAAATGTCCTGTCTCTCGGTGGGGTGGTGGCTACACTGTGAGTTTGAAAACGTGCTACCACATTGGAGTGTGATCCGGGCATAGGGGAAGGGGAAGGAAGTATTGAGTCACTTGCAAATCCATTCACCCAGTCATATTAAGCATTAATCTTTCAGCATTGATCATTGGTCATTGGTCAGTGGTCGGAGGCTGTGGCAGGCACTGGGCCAGGTGCTGAGGCTGCGCATGAGCGAGGACTGTGGGAGCCTGGTGGGCTGTCAGTAGCTGGAGCCGCTGGTGTAAGTGCTCGGTCAGATTAGTGCTTTGTATGTGAAAGTATTGCACGTTGGAGGAATGAAGTCCCTTCGTGTTTCCACAAGTAGATTTGTGGAAGTTTGGAGAAAGAAGGGGATGAGCCCTAGCTGGTTTGGCTCAGTAGATAGAGCGTCGGCCTGCGGACTAAAGGGTCCCAGGTTCGATTCTCGTCAAGGGCACGTGCGCAGGTTGTGGGCTCAATCCCCAGTAGGGTTTGCAGGAGGCAGCCGATCGATGATTCTCTCTCGTCATTGATGTTTCTATCTCTCTCTCCCTCTCGCTTCCTCTCTAAAATATATACATATATATACACCAGAGGCTCAGTACATGAAATTTGTGCACTGTGTGTGGGGGGGTGTCCCTCAACCTGGCCTGCACCCTCTCCAATCTGGGACCCCTTGGACATCCCTCTCACAATCTAGGACCGCTGGCTCCTAACCGCTTGCCTGCCTGCCAGCCTGATCTCCCCCTAACTGCTCCCCTGCTGGCCTGATTGCCCCAACTGCCCTCCCCTGATGGCCTGATCGCCCACAACTGCCCTCCCCTGCCGTGACGTCCGCGCACGCAGTGGTGGAGACACGGACCGGCTTTCTCTGCGCAGCGCATAACCACGGGACCCCCAGGCCTCACCGTGAGGAGCAGCCGCCGGGGCCCTGCCTCCGCTTTGCATGCGGCCATCTTGTGGCGATGTCGCGCGAGGGCGTACACCACCTAGGCTTTTATTATATAGGATATTTATTTATTTTTAAGGGGGATGATATGACCAGATAAGTGATTATGGGGGTGGAGGGGCTTGTGGTTGGGGGGAGTTGGTTAGACCTGGAGATGGGTGGCTGTATTTGCCATGGGTAATGGGTGCTGTCAGGGGGAGGCTGGGGAGCATCAGACTCTCCCTGGGACCCAGAGTTGGAGAATGTTGGCCTGAGGGGACCCTGCGCCCTGTGGGAAGGACATTGGGGCTAGCAGAGGGCCAGTGTGCATGGAAACCTGCGCTGTTGCTGGGAGAATTTTTCTGCTAATTTACTGGTCTTGGGCGTGGCTTGTCTGCTCTGTGACCAGACTCACACTCACCAGGTGACTCCCCTTGATGTGCCCAGGGAACGGGATTTGGTTTCTTCCTATCAGATGTGATGAAAAGAAATAAGCAAGGAATTAGGTCATAGGTTTGTTCGAATAAATTTGGTTGGTGTTGAGAATTTAAAATTGCCCATAGAGGGTTAGTTTTTATGAGGAGAATGCAGGTGATAGGCCCCTCACAGAAGGATCGGATTTGCGTCAAAGGTTTTTGTTTCCTTAGACTCTGAAAGGGCACCGCTTTTTGCTAATGTTTGCAATGAACAACTAAGGGAATATGTATTCAAATTTAAAATGCTGCAGGTTTGTTGAATTACTAGTTTGTGGTGCTTGTGTTTTTAACCTGCTTACAGCACAATTAAATTGCACAGGTGTGTCACTTTGCAATAACCCGTTGAGCTGTGCACTGTGATTTACAGCTTCCTGTATGTCAGATCCACTCCCAATAAAATCGTATTACATACATGACACACGATGGCTGCACTGCTTTATGACAACAGGTGCCCCTTAGCTTTGTGTGATAAACACGCAGACGACGCACATGCAGAGCTCTGGCTTGCTCACAGCTGTCGTAGCAGAATCCTGGGCAGCTCATTCTCTCTGTCTCTTTACGTTGTTCTCCTGAGCCATTGGTGGGGAAAGGGACCAAAGAGATAGTCTGTGACTTGTTGAATGGACATAGTTTTTAAGGAGTAAAAGTTCTGAAGGTTTAAAAAAATCACCTTTCGTTGTAAGTGGAACATGTCAGTAGATGGAAATTAGCAACCGTTCATTAGTGTTAAAACAGAAAGTTTGATGATTCTGCCAGGCGTTTTGGTAGCATAAACAAATTTCTTTTCAAATGGAAGTTTCTATGACTTGGCTGTTTACAATATCTGGTCCATATTGCTTGCCCAGGATCTTAGCTAAACAGAACAGGGTCCCAGCTATGACTGTCGAACAAATCCTGGTTCCATTGTCCCGGGGTCAGGAGTGTGCTTGAGCACTGTACGGTTTGGGGAGGCAAGTCAGAGGTGCAGGCTGGGAGCTCTGTAAAAACAAGAGGGCCCGCCAGTGTGGCTCGGTGCTTGGGCACTGGCCCATGAACCCGGAGGTCCCGCTCAGGGCACCGCCTGGGTTTCGGGCACATCCCCAGTAAGGGGCATGGGCATGCAGGAGGCAGCCAATCAATGATTCTCTCTCATCATTGATGTTTCTCTCTCTCCCTCTCCCTACCTCTCTGAAATCAATAAAAATATATATTTTTAAAAAGAATACAGGAGGGCCGAAACCAGTTTGGCTCAGTGGATAGAGCGTCGGCCTGCGGACTGAAGGGTCCCGGGTTCAATTCCTGTCAGGGGCATGTACCTTGGTTTCGGGCACATCCCCAGTATAGTGCAGGAGGCAGCTAATCAATGTTGGGGGAGGGGGCAGAGATTAACCAGAGAACTTATATGCATATATGCATAACCCATGGACAGAGACAATAGAGTGGTGAAGGCCTAGGGAGCAGGGGTTGGGGGGACAGGGTGGAAGGGGTCAATGCGGGGGAGGGGGCATCTGTAATACTTTCAACAATAAAGATAAATTTTAAAAAATATAAGCGGGCGGAAGGTAAGAGCACAATGGGCTCAGAAGTAGAAAGTGGAGGTCTGAGGCAGGACAGTGCGCACGCCTGGTTAGCAGCAGCAGGGTTGGAGGGACGCAGGCCTGCCCAGAATCGGCCCTGGGCATGTCCCTTTCCCTTCCCACCACACAGATCTAGCGCAGCAGGCTCACCAGCACGCAGGGCGCAGGGCGCAGGGCGTGCTGAGCGGGGAGGTGCTGTGCAGAGGCCCGGGACAAGGGCTCCGCATCCTGCTCTGCCTGTGGGCGCCACCTGCCCGGGCTGCTGGCCTCAGCTCCTGTGCTGGCGTTCTCATCCGTAGGATGGGGATATGCTAGTCCCCACCTGATGTGCTGGTGAGGCTTGAGCAGTCGTCGATGACAAGTATTCGGCTCAGGGCAGAGCGCCAGGCGAGCGTGTGAACATGCCCGCTCTAGCATTGTCTCCAGCAGAGATGGGCCCGCTCTCGGGTTCCGTCAGCTGCCCTCCTCTCCGTGTTACCGTCGGTGTTCATTCCCACAGGATTCTGTCTCTGATGGGTCGGTCCCTCCTGTGGGCACGGACACAGTGTCTCGAGCCCAGAGCTGTATGTGACGAAGCTCTCAGCGGAGGAGAGCTCTGCTGACTCTAGGAAGCCTGGTTACGCCCGGCTGTGCTTCTCACCCCAGGGAAGGGGGGCGTGCAGAGGGTCCCAGCTGTGCTCTCTCCTCTGCAGGCGGGGCACCCGCGTGTGGAGCTGACCCTCTCAGAGCTCCAGGACATGGCAGCCAGGCAGCAGCAGCAAATCGAAAACCAGCAGCAGATGTTGGTCGCCAAGGTGAGTGTACAGAAGCCGAGGCGGGAAACGGGCAAAAGCATGTTCTCCAAACTGGTCCTTTAGGTTGGGGTCCCTACGCTCCCAGGTAACTCCCGTCCGCAGGACCAGGCCACGGAAGTCTCAGCGCCCTGTTTCTCTGTCATCTCCTCCCTAAAAATAAACACATGCGTGGCTTCCAGACGTGGGAGGGTGTCAGGGCAGGAGCACTTGACCCTTGACCTGCACACACAGACACGCTGGAAACGATCAACCTTGCCCGTTGTGGATACAATTTAAGGGTGTTTTCTGTTGTCGTCTCCTTTTCCCGCCGGGTGTGCTCTCAGCTGTGTAGTTGGCCTTGGAGTTCTGGAGGAAGCCAGCGGTCCCTGACCCCCTGCTGGTCCCGGCCCCGAGACAGGACACTGGTCATCAGGGCTGCCCTGGCCTGGGCCACGCTCCGAGGCGCCGTTTGGCTGACTGTGGTGAGGGGCACAGCGAGCTCTATTTTGTTGCCGAGACTCTGAAACAGTAGGATTTAAAGTTTTTCCAAGCGACGGTTTAGTCATGGATTTCCAAGTGAAGACCAGACCTGCCACCGTGCCCTCTGAAAACGGCTCCCACTGTGACGAGCTGGACGCCCTGAGCTGCCGAGAGAGCCCAG